ATAAGTCACTGGTTATAATTCATTTATACTAAGCGGACTTTCTTAAATTGTCTATATCTGTGTCAAACTTTTCCGTAGGATTATTATTTTGCTTTATCAACCAGTTATAATGGATACAAATGTTCAACTCGTTGGTCTCTCAAGTGACCTCTACCATTTGATTACATTATTAAAAGATTTTATACTATTACTTCAGCATTCATACTATGCTTTTCTTAGCTTATTCTTCTTTTTAATGAACTTTTGACTAGGTCAAGTTTCTTAATATTTCTTATTATTCCATTTGCACTCATGACTACCATTATTATGGTAGATTTGATCATTTTTAATCAATTGAGCTCTTAGGTAATTGTTTTCAAGGACTCCCTAGTGGGTGCTTATCAGCTTTGCTATTAAAGACCCTACAAGTGGTTACTAGGGTCTTGGTTTGAGGTAGCTACATTGAATTTGTGCCATCACACTCATTATTCACCTCAAAAAGAAAGGAAAAACTATTGAGAAAACTCCTTGGAAGTGTCTTCTGAAAGTTTGTAACTTGGGAGTAATTTTTTAGAGTCTTCTCCCTTGAGATTTCTCTGTTTCTACACTATGGTGTTCCTTCTCTAGCAGGCCTCAGACATCCAAGCCTTTATTCATTTAAAATGCATTATCAATAATACACACACTATAGTATTAGCATATGATAGCATTTAAAAAAATCACGACACTACATTAACAATTATGCTTCATTAAATTCACTTAAAATTATAATTTCCGAAGGTGTTGTCGTATAGCCTGGGATGTTAGTGATGTCAGCAATCCTTCCTCGATATGCATTTGTGTTTTTCCATTGTTAATTTGACATGAAATCACCGCTAGAATTTGTGTTGATTATCTAGTTGTTTATGTTCTACCAAATAGAATAAACTAATGTACAAATAACAAGTCACAGAGACCATGAAGCGCTTGGTGCAAGTTATGGTAAGAGAAGTAGTATATGCTGACAAGGTTTATTGCGAGAGATTTTGAGTAAGGACATTTGAAGAAAATGTGGTAGCAGCTTTCCCAAGCAAAGGGCACACATCTTACATAGATTAACATTCCCACATCACAAAGTTGTTAGTTTATTAGAGAATTTTTCTGCCCTTAATTGTAGGCCAACTAGCAAAATAGAGCAATATTAAAAGTGTTGCCTTTAAAACCAAATAGTTGTACATACCAAAATTGGTAAGCGCGCAAAGATAAGCTCCTTAACTTTGTAACTGTTGAAATATTCATTTATTCTCTGGATGTTTTTGTTATTCTCATCAACTAAAGAGATAGAGAGTAAATCATTTACAATATGTATTAGCCATAGTTAAATAATGAGGGATGTTCATATGGTCTTTAGCAATAAGCTTTTTATCTTGCAAGTAGTGGCTGTGAGAGAAGTCATGGTAAGTATTCACCAGGTAGAGCTAGTCCTACAGGGATCTGCTTGCCACCTATGTGATGTAGAGAAGGGAAAAATTGTTTCCAAAATGAAGTTTAGTAAAGATATTGTTTTTCGTGCTACAGGTTGCTTGTTTTAGTTGCGTCCAAAAATCTTTTGATAGTGTAAGCCCAAATAGAACCATAAGAGAGGCAACACCATTTGAACAACAGTTAGCAAAGCGAGACACTCTTGGTGGTCAGCACTAGACATAGTATGATGAGATGATCAAAGCTATGGTGGTTATGACAGCTCAGTTAGTAGCATTGGGCATCTCGCATAACCTCCAGAGTTTGTTGCACCAGCGGTAGATAAAGGGGAAACAACAACGATTCATGCTTTAATGACAGAGCCTGTGGTAGTGCATGGGATAGTTGTCACCAATTGTACCACGAGAGGCCCCACCTTTACCATATGACACGTTGATGGAGGTTCGGTAGCAAGACCTTTCATCGACGCATATTACATATGTGATCAAACAAAAGATAAAACACACCATTTTATCCAAAAAAAGAGAATTGGTAAACAGTGACGTCCTTATTTAGTTGAGTATGAGCATGTTCAGTATCCAATATGTTTTTCCCATCATTGGTTCCAGTAGTTTGATGGGTTGAGAAATCTGAGGCAACACTTGGCTCCATATTGGGCATATATTGTAATATTGGGGAGAGTGATGCTTTGCTGCTTAGAATGTTTGTTGGCAGTTTGGGTGGGTTAGCATTTGAGTGGTATGCATATCTTCCTAATGATTAAGTCATGACTTTTGCAGAGCTTGACGAGTTCTTTATTCAAAGGTTTGTCAGTGCGGAGTGCAAGGTTACATTGATGATTTAGTGATGACTAGGCAACAACCTCACGAATCTTTATCTAACAATATTGTCAGGTGAAAGAATCTCAGTTTTTAGTATGAGCCACAATTACAGAAGCAACATACAATTGAGATGTTGCTGAAAAATATTGATGGTCTGATCACATTGTATATTAAGGGTTTCAATATCGAAAATTTTCAAAAGCTTATGAGTAAATTTACTAGTTTTGTTTAGAAAAAATCTTAAGTTAATTCTAGTACCCCTTTTGTTCCTAAGATGGGTGGTTTGATACTAAGTTATGAGATGAAAATTTTCTTGAGATTCCACCATAATAGAGAAATCCCAGAGTGATGGAATTGATCTTTTGGGTGATCTTTAGGGATAAAATAGAGCATAACAATATAAGAATATAGTTATCTATTTTAACATTCAAATTCAAATAGTATTTCGCAAGATTATAGGCACATCAATCGAGCTATATTCAGATAGAGGGTGAAGTGAACTTGGACTATGATGCCATTCTATTCTGAGTAAGTAAAAGTGATGATAAGTATATAATAATAATTTTTAAAGTATAAGAAGAAAATATTTTTCATGAGTAAAGATTGACATAAAATTTCAAGGAAATTTAGCAAGCATAATCTAGTCGTGTCCCCCCATAAAAATAATTATATAGATGTATTTATAGACTTTGAAGAGACAAATATTGACTAATCAAAACATTACCAAGTGATTCTCCTGAAGGACTTATATAAAATTTTAGGTTAAATGCATCATTTTTTTTTTTGCCTTTTCATGTCTACATGTTCTATGAACACGTTGGTCGCTTTAAACGGCTCAATTCTAGAAGCATTTCATTGTAATCAAATCATATTGCTATTTGTTTAACTTTTTATTATGCTCTTTTGTCATGATTATAGTTTAGAAAGAAATGATTGACATAGCAATTATTTATTTTGGAAAGGAATGTTGGCTCATGGAGAGTAATGTTGGCTTAACTACAATAATAATCCAAGTATGTAGGTTGGGATGGAGTTGGTGGTGCATCTCAATATAGATCATGGTAATATGGTGTAGGTAGCATCAATATTGATGACGTCCACCAAGTGGCTAAAACAAAAACGAAGAGATTAAATGATAGTTATCAGTAGCCAACCTCTGATCCGCATTAGTACAAGTTAAATATTCCATCTATTTAATACTGATAGAAACATATCATTATTTGTATTGATACAACAACAACTAACAATTTTTGTCTATACTTACGTAACAAAATCTTTTGTTGGATGAAAAAATTGCAAGCGCACTAATATATTTAAAATTATACCGACTTTGTTTGGTAATTATCATGGGTTGAGAGCATGCATGCGGGCCAACCAAATTTGTATTTGCTAAAATTGGCATGAAATCACCACTTACCAAGATTTGGAAAGATAATATTGTTGTACAAACATCCCATTTAATTTTTTTTTATTGGAAGAGAAGTTCTTAAGATTATGTCTTAAGATTGTTTCAATTACAATTTCCCTTCATACAACACAATGTCAATTTCATAGCAACACAAACAGAGATACATCAAAACTAGGGTCAACATGATGCATTAGGGTTTAACAACACAATTTTTTTTGGAAGAGGAAGTAATTTAACTATTATTTCAAACAACTTCAACAAATTTAAATGCTAAATCTTCTTTCTGGAGATGAGAATAACTTGAAAGTATTGTGTTTATGCAAATAGAGCTGATTGAATGGAATGGAAAGAACAAAAATTAGCAGTAGCGAAGACTTTGTTTGAAGCAACTTCATCATTCAACAATTTATTTTGAAAAACATTTTGGCAGAATGGAGAAAATTTTTTGTGATTCAAAATAGCAAAAAAATATTGTTCTTGCGAACAATTTTAAGAGATAATCGGCAAGCGCAGCTCTGCTTCACCTAATGTAAACTTTTGTCAGCATGCAACTTCGGCCCCGTTTGGGCAGCTTATAAGTGTGGGCGGTATTTTGAAAACGCCACATCACCGTCTGGAAAACACGTTTCAACATCTTATCCGAAAAAACAGTTGGATTTTTACACTAAATGCAGTTCGTTGGTCAAATCCTGTGTGCTGCGTTTCAGAATAAGCTGTTTATCTGAATTAATACAAACTGCCCGAAACCCACTCGAACATATCATGTTTTTAGTCTGCTTTCATAATAAAATATTAAAAAGATTGGATTTATCCAGTCGCTTTATTTGAATGTTTATCCGATTAATTTTAATTTTATTCTTTATGTTCTCTAAGCTTACGCTAAAACACGTGTGCTCTCAGTTTCGGTCAAACTATTTTGCTTCTTTTTTCAAAGTCAAAGTCTTCAGATCGATGATAAATCAGCCATTTGACTTCTATTGGCAAACTTTTCTTTTTTCCAAATTAGCCTTTCTTAATATTTATTTCCATATTAATATACATTTTTCCTTATATTTCCATGCCAAAAAGTAAATAAATAAGCTTCGTTTCTTTTTTTAGTAAATGAAATTAATTTGCTTTATATAATCTTGAGGGACATTTACATAAATACCATACAATTCTTTTGTATTTATATATCTAACACTTACATTTTCATATTTTGCATAAATACCATACTATTACTAATAATTAAATTTTATGTTAATATATTATTACAAATGAATTGCTTGCTATGTATTTAAATTATTTTACGTAATTAAATAATTTAAATATTTTTAATTTATTTATTTTAATTATACGAAATATATCAGAATATTTTTAGCTTATAGCATACATCTATTTGCACGGCCTGCAGCAAATCCTAAAAAGCCGCCGCTTAAAAATCCTAATACAAAAATCTCCCCCTTTTCTCCCACTTGCCTTTCCCCTCTTTAATGGCCGCCGCAACCACCTCTCCCGCTGCCGGCCACCTCGCTTTTCCCCAAAACCCTAACCCTAATACCGCTCGTCTATCCTTCCCCGCCTCCCTCAAAGCCCTTTCAAAACCCTTCTCCCTCCGCCATCACCACCGCCACCTCACAGTTTCTTCCTCCACATCCCCCAATCCATACATCTCCTCTACCGTACCCGATCTCCTCTCCGACAAACCACGCGACGAATGCGGAGTCGTCGGCATCATCGGCGATCCGGATGCCGCTTACCTTTGCTCAGTCGCTCTCCACGCTCTCCAACACCGCGGCCAGGAAGGCGCCGGTATCGTCTCCTCTCACCGCCCCACCGCCGACTCGCCCGCCCCCCCCCCGCCGACTCCCGTGCCACTCTCCGCTCCGTCACCGGTCTCGGTCTCGTCTCCCAAGTCTTCCAAGACAAGTCTAAGCTCGACTACCTCTCCGGCACCGCCGCTATCGGCCATGTTCGCTACTCCACCGCCGGCTCCGCCTCCTCCCTTGCCAACGTTCAACCCTTCCTCGCCGGATATCGTTTCGGCCAGCTCGCTATCGCCCACAATGGTAATCTTGTCAACTATTCTTCTCTCCGTGCCCAATTGGAGGATTCTGGCTCCATCTTCAACACCTCCTCCGACACTGAGGTCGTCCTCCACCTCATCGCTAACTCCAGCTCTCGCCCCCTTATCTCCCGCATCGTCGATGCCTGCGAGTCGATTCAAGGTGCGTATTCCCTCCTCTTCCTCACCGAGAACAAGCTATTCGCCGTTCGCGATCCCTTCGGATTCCGCCCCCTTGTACTGGGTCGCCTCCGGCGACCCAGCCGCGGCATCGTCTTCGCCTCCGAGACCTGCGCGCTTGATCTAATCGAAGCTGATTACGAGCGTGAGGTAAACCCTGGGGAGATCATCTTGGTCGATGGTCGTGACATGTCTCTCTCTTCTCTCTGCCTCATGCCTCCTAAACCTCGTAAAGCTTGCATCTTTGAGCACATATACTTTGCTCTCCCGAATTCCATTGTGTTTGGGCGTGCAGTCTACTCTTCTCGATACTCATTTGGTGCTACATTAGCCAAGGAATCTCCTGTCCCCAACGCTGATGTCGTTATCCCTGTTCCTGACTCCGGTTTCTATGCGGCGCTCGGCTATGCTTCCCACTCTGGGATTCCATTTCAGCAAGGTCTTATCCGCTCTCATTACGTTGGCCGAACCTTTATTCAACCAGAACAGAACATCAGGGACTTGGCTGTGAGATTAAAACTGGCTCCTGTGAGGGGGATTTTGGAGGGGAAATCGGTGGTGGTTGTTGATGACTCCATTGTTAGAGGAACAACGAGTTCTAAGATTGTCAGGCTGATTAAGGATGCAGGAGCCAGGGAAGTTCATATGAGGATTGCGAGCCCTCCTATTGTTGGTTCTTGTTACTATGGGGTTGATACTCCCAGATCAGAGGAGCTGATTTCTAATAAGATGGATGTGGAAGGAGTGAGAAATGCGATTGGATGTGATTCACTTGCCTTTTTGTCACTTGAGAGCCTTAGAAGCTTGCTTGGGGAGGAGGCTCCGAGTTTCTGTGATGCTTGCTTCTCCGGGAACTACCCCGTTCCACCAATTGAGAATGAAGCAGAGAGGTTGGTAGCAGTGGAGGAAGAGTAAGGTTTCTTCTGTTTTTCTTTGCCTTGTTTAGATTTTGGTGATGATGATCCTTTCACTCTTGATGAAGGGAAGTTTTGTTTATCTTCTTTTTTTTTTCTCTTATTTGAGTCTAAGCTGCTGGAATTATGAGAGTTTTAGAATTATTATGTTGCCATATTCATATTATAATTTATTGGCATTTTTTAAAAAAAAAATTATAAGCTTTATTAGTATAATGTTGCATTTTTATATGTATATATTTGTACTCATATCAAGATTTGTGAAGTTAAAATACCAGTCTTTATCACACTTGTCTACCACATTGTGGTTGTGATTGAGGTTTGTAGTGAGTTTGAATCGCACATATTATCTTTTTAGCTTACCTATCCCCGAAAAAAATAATGTCTTTAATGATTTGTACGGTGTATTGATATTTTATCTTTATTAAGTTTTCTCTGTGTGTACTAGTATTATATTAATCAAGTAAAAATATAATCTTTTATAATCTCTAACAAGAATAGGGTTGATGATGACAGTGAGAACTCTTGTATTATTAGTTGGGGATATTTACATTCATGCCACGCGAATCTTATGCTTTTACATATCTGTCATCTAAAATTTGATATTTGTATTCATAATACCTTGGCATTAAACATGTATGCATGAAAATGTATAATTTACTTTGAAAAAGTTAATAATAATGACATTTTTTGTCATGTCATAAAATTGTGTTATGTTTGCAACTATGAAAGTTTTGGTTTTAGATATGTGAATGTATAAGAATTGTGTGGTATATATGTTTTTGTTCATGGGCTGTTTTCTTTAGCACATTTAAGTAAGAAAGATTTCTGACTTATTTATGTTTTTGTCCATGTTATTTTACAACATCTGAGGCCTAAGAAGCAGAATTCCTTACATTTGCAGTTCTATAATTGGAATGCTTCTTTTAGTCATATAATAACATTATAATTTATTAAATATATATTGTAAAAAGAGTAGTTTTAGTTGATTTATACCTATCTAATTACATGATTTGGTATTGATGTCATCTTATTAAAGAAGATATCTTTGAGAATTCTCCTTGTTTTAGGAGTTCTTGCTACTTCATATTATGATGGTAGTAGATCTGGATGTGTTTGGATGGCTTTGCTGGTTAATTTCATAGATGAGTTCAAATAATATATGTTTAGTGGAGTTTAAATGATGGATAGACTAGCTGAATATCAAGTTGATTTTTTGGGTGGCCCTGTCGACTTGAACTGATGAATTAATTTGTGAGATCATTTTTATCTCTTGCCAACTTTAATTTATTTAAAGCAATGTTATATAATCCAAATATTCTTATCCACAAGATATATCTCTTATTGGAGGCTTACTTACTCTAGATGTAGGGTCTTTTTGGGAACCTGCAATTATTTGAAGAAGCAACTGTGAAGTTGTTGCAGAATAAATTATTTTTCAAGAAGTTGTGGTAGCTATTATAGATTTATTTTATCCTCAAAAAGTCTAACCGTATGTTTATGACATCCACCACACTTTAACAGATCAGGTTGAAGAAAGACGTTTTTTTTCATAGAAATTTTTAAAATCAACAAGAATGCTGTTGTTCAAACAGAATTGTGTCTGAAAAAGCAAACCCAGTAAAAAGTTTTCCCAAAGACACTCTTAAGCTCTTCAAAAGTCCCGTTGCATAACGGGACTCATCTTCATTCGACGTTCTTTTGATATAACGTACGGAGATGTTTCGAAAATGTTACATCATCAAATTTATATTTTGCAACGGAACTAACAAGAAATAAAAAACCTTATCACCGCAGACTTTCTAATCCTAAAAAATATATGATATGCACTTTTTTTTGGGTAATTGATAAATCCATTAATAGTATGGCCTATGGAATGTGTGGTCCAATTGTTAGAAAAGGGGAGGGGTTCTTCTAGCACCAATGACTATGTGAACGTCAAAACAAATTGGAGGGTTGCTTGTTTTACATGATGTGTTATTTAGAATGAATTTCAACTCAATTTGACCGTGTCATGATAAGTACAATTCATGCTAGTTTGACTTTTTGTGGACGTGTGTGGGGGCGCGCGCGCGACGGGCTCAGATTTTTCTAATTATAATTGAACATCATCGTTTTAATTTTTATAACTGTTTAAGATAGACGTTGCATTAAAATATTGGCCATGTTGGGCAGACTATATATATCTATGGTACTTGAAGACACAATGATGCGATATAATTTTATTAAAAATAAAAAAATAAATTTACTTTCGTACCACACAATTTAATTTTCATATATTTATATGTAACAGCTGTACTTTTATATTTACTATTTTAAACCTTTGATATTATATAAAAGTGATATATATATATATATATATATATATGAAAATTTCTATTTTATTTTTAAAAAGGTAAATAATAAGACCTAAGGGGTTTGATTCCTCTCTAAGGTGGTACAGGTGGTACTTGAATTATTAGACACATTAGGGCTGATTGAAGGCTTGTATAATAGCCTCTGGTTATTCTTTTATTTGTGTGTGTGTGTGTTAGGTATGGCTTATATACTAGATAAGGGACAAATGTTGGAGCGAAAATGAGCGAGCCAGCAGAAGTATTTGTCCAATCGGAAAAGTTTCGTTATATGTTTGGGGGTGCGAGGGCAATGCCTCCGCGGTACGGTACAGTGGACATATTGTACTTCATGGTTATATATATGTTTGTTTGTAACCCTAGGTCTTACTATTTGTATTATGTACTATTTTTCTGAATTGAAGGAAAACCGCCGTTCTGCTCCCGAAGACGTAGACATCTTTGTCGAACCTCGTTAAATCTCTGTGTTTTCTTTTGGATTTGTGTTGATTCTTGATTTTCTTTGCCCTAAAATTTTCAACAATATATATAGTTAAAAAAATGAATGATCGGAGTCTATTAGAGGAGCCATGACCATCCATAAATATGCATATATGAAAATTTAGATGTACAGTATGTAAATACATAAGAATTGTGCACTATGTATGTAAACGCCTCAAATTTAAAAAGGTTCAATACATATATGAAATTTATTTTTGAATGGGAATTTAAAAGTAATTTATAAAATTATAAATTTGGGTCTAAAGGAAATGAAAATCAACTAAAAATAAACCATTTTCAATCAAAGTGAACATAACAAGTTACGAGCCAATTATGGAGCCTATTTTGAGCTGAAACGGATCCAAATGCCTCAATTGGAGTCAATTAGTTTAAATTTTGTGTCAGATTTAACTAATTCTGCCAGCTCGTTTGAATTTTGAGTCGGATAAAGCTCGATTCACTTTTGAGCCTGCTCAGCTAGAGATAGATTATAGCTAGTCACCAACCGAGCTACACTAAATTCGCTATCAAATTGCTAACAACCCCACATGCACACCATTTAATTCCTTTGTGTTTTTTAAATCTTACACCTAAACTTTACATTTATATCTATAGCACCCATATCACATAAAAAAAATATCATCATATTAGTACATATCAACCGTATAATTTATAAAATAAAATTTAAGTGTTAGATTTTTATTTTAATTCAAAAAAAAAAATATTTTAATTTTTTTTTAAGAAGAAAATAAATTAATCATATTTATGTATTAAATTGCCTTAGAGTTGAAAATTTTAAAATTTATACTTTAGATATTTTATTTTATTATTTTTTAGATAAGATAGAGCATATAAACTGTCTATACGTGGCTTATTTTTTAACTTTATGTGTGACAGATTGATAGGCTTTTGGCCCAATTTTTCTTTATTTTATTAGACCAAATTGAATCAGCAAAAATTTTAAAATGCCACTATAGAATGCTATTATTACATGTCTTGTGTATGTATGTATGTATATATATATATATATCACATAAATATTTCTTGACAATGTATAATGTCATCAAGTATATTAAGAAAAAATTGCTCTAATCAGGACAAGTAGTTTGTTACTTGGTTTTTAATATCGTTCATATGTTCATATCTAGTATCTTTATATGAAATTCCTGTAACAGAAGTATCGAACAAATCAATGAAGGTTTAGCATTCTTCTTAGCTACAAAATACTTAGTAGAAGAGTGATTGATGTGGACTTTAATTTAGTGTTTATCAGGTAAGATCTAATTTTATGAAATGTAAAAACTATCGCAAGCAACTCTTTCACTGAGGTGGATAATTCACTTGTGATTCATTAAGAATCTGATTCGCATAGCATATCACATGAAAAAATTTATCTCTACAATGTTGTAGTACAACCCCCATAACATAGTCGCTAGCATCACATATTAGTTTAAAAAAAAGTTTCCAATTCAATGCAATAATAAACTTTTCTTTTAAATACTCAGAGGCCGCTAAGCATTCTTCATCAAACTCGAATGGTACATCCTTCTCTAATAAATAACATAACGTTTTAAGTATCTTAGAGAAGTATTTAATATATTTATGATAAAATAATGTGTGCTCAAAAAAACTCCTAATCCCTCTAACAAATGCGAGTGAAGGTAAATTTTCTTTTTTATTATGGTCTACTTCCATCCTTTTTTCTAATAATGTAGGCTCTAAAACAATTTCTTCTGCAATCATAAATTAATATTTTTCCCAATTTAGCACTGAGTTATTCTCTTCACAACTTTCTAAGACTTTGAAAATATTTTTGAGACATGCATCAAATGATATCCAAAAATTGATACCATAAAACTTCAACCCCCTTTTCTATTAAATCTGAAGAGATCACCATTATACATCTTTTAAAAGTCGTTTGGGGCATTACATAATCCAAAATACACAAAACTTTTATAGGAACTAGCAATGAAGATTATCATATCTTGATCCTCTAGAGTTAAAAAAATTTGATGATATCCTGAATATCATCAAATTTCTATGGCACTTAGAGACAAACTGCGAAATAATTATATATGTGATAGGGTTGGTGTAGCTCCAGTGATGAACAAGATTGGAGAGAAATAGTCTTAGATGGTTTGACCACATTAAATGTCGACCATTAGATGATCTAATTAGGAGAGTACATGCTTTATATTCGACTTATGTTAAGAATGATAGAGGTAGACATAAAAAAATTGGGCATATTGTATAAAAAATAATCTTAATCTATTAGAATTACATGAAAATATGAAACTCAATAGGATACAATGAAGAAAAATGATTCATACAGCTAACTCCACTTAGTGGAATAAAGGCTTGTTATTATTGTATCCTGTATATCCATCTAAAAAGCAATACTAAGGGTTCTCTGTCAATCTATCTAATATTTGGTAAAAAAAAAAGATAAGTGGAAATGATTAATTCTAGTAGTCTTATTTAATTTCTTATAGTCAAATACAAATTCTCCAACTCGTGACACTCCTACTGGGTATTAATTCTTTCTAGTCATTCTTTACTATAGTCGCATATCCTTTCTTAGGAATACAAATTATTTGGCTAACCCAGGCACTATTAGAAAGTAGATATATGATTCTTGCATCTAACCACTTTAAAATCCCTTTTTTTACCACTTCTTTCATCATCAAGTCCACCCTCTTATGGGAATCTACTATGGGTTAGTGATCTTTTTTCATCAAAATTCTAAGCATGCATACAAAAGAGTTAATACAATTTATGTATGCTATAGTCCACCCAAAAACTTTCCTTAAATCACCTAACATCTACATCAACTTTGTCGCCTACAATTCAGTCAACTTGGATAAAAAAATGATAGGTAAAGTGTAATATTCTTAAAAAATATATATATTTCAAATGTCTCAAGAAAGTCTAAGGTTCTATTTTAGGGCCTCAATTACAACTAAAAGTTTAGCTAATGAGATGTCTAAAACTCAAACCCTAAACCTAATAACTCTAAGTGTTGCTTCTAATAATAGAGCAGATTCTTCCTTAAGGTCCTTGCTATATTTTTCTACCAACTCTTGCTCTACTGGACCTATCTTAATAGTGTCTCTAAATTGGCCCGTGATCAACCCATTCACCAAATCAAACTTGTAACAAGAATCATCTCTAGAGTCATGGGGTATTTAATTAATTTCAAAATATTGAATGTAAATTATTAATCATTATTAGTCCTTAACTGCCTCTTCCAAGCATTAATCATCCCCCTTCCTACAGCTAGAAAAGATATACCTAAGATTATAAAGCTCTCCTTATATTCCTCCATATATAAAACTATGAAGTCTGCATAGAAGATAAACTTATCAATCTTTAGACAAATATCCTCTATTACTCTCCTTGGATATGTAAGAGATTGATTAATTAACTATAATGTAAATGTGGTAGGGTGGGTTTTCCCTAATTATAATCTCTTGAAGATAGATAAATGCATGAGGTTGATACTAACGTCTAAATCGTATGAGACTTTTCTAAGAAAAATCTCTCTTATGACATAGGGAATGGTAAAACTACCAGGATCCTTAAGTTTTTGAGGAAGTTCATTTTGAAGTTATGTATTGCACTACTCATTAAGGACAACAGTCTCAGAGTGACCTAATTTTATTTTTTCTTAAAGAATTTCTTTCATGAATTTTATGTAATTAGGCATCTGCTCTAAGGCTTCGACAAATAAAATGTTGTCGTGAGCCTTTTGATCAAGCTTTGTTATTTAATCCTTTGAGAAAAATGTGGCGGTGATCTTTCTTGCTCCTTCTTAGGTTGTGAGTTAGATTTTTTTAAGTCTTGGATAAGATTTTTATCAAAATTTTCAGGCTTGGGGTTAATTTCTTCTACACTAGCTTCCTTCCTAAAATTTTTTTTAAACTCCATCCCACTTCTTAATTGAATGATTTTCACTTTCTCATTTCCCTTTTCTTTAGAATTCACTTATGTGTTACTAGGCAACATCCCTTCATGTTTTGTTACTCAAAGAATTTGTTATTTGCCATAATTGATTCTTAGTATTTCTTATAGTTGTTGTTTGAATTTGCAATTGATTCCCCGTTGCTAATACTACTTGCAAGGATAAGCTCTTCTCTTTGAACTGATAATTTGAAGTGAATCTAACTGGGTAAGTCAATCTCATACTACTAATGTCAAGTTTTTTTTAGTTTACTATAGGGTTGTGTTAATTATTACCCCACTGTTGGTTTTCTACACTTGGAATGTTATTAATCTAATTGGAATTATGATGGTTTCTCCATTCTAGGCTATATGTATCGTAATATGGGTTATTGGGTTTGTTTCTTATGGCATTGAGGGTCTCCAAAAAAGTAATGCTAGAATCTCTTATTGGCTCAAAAGTCATCTTATCTTTTTATAAGAATCCTTGCAAAGAATTCAACCATATGTTATCTAGTTTCTTAGAAATAATTATGAGAATTATTTTCTTTTAATTATAGTTTTCTTATAAATCATATTATATATTGAAATTAGGGCTCAAAAAATTATGGAAAAATAAATATAAATAACTTTTTGTGTCCAAGACCCTATGATGATGTTTGTAAAATAAGTGTCAAATGACTTTACAAAGTTAATTTTTATTTATAAATGTGATTTTTTTATTAAATTTTAATTAAACAATTACCTTTATTTTCAAATTTAAAGATTTCTTAAAAAATAAGAAAAAAATATATGCTAATTAAATTTCATCATACTTTATAATGTGATGAAGACATTTTATAAGCCAGGCTTATAAAGCTTTCATTAAAAAAAATGTTTAATAGTGGAAACTCTTATTTATAGATTTTCAAGGAATTTCTTTGTTATTTCTTAGCCAAATATTTGTAAAAAAATCTGAAGACCAAGATAGCTGAGAAAATACATCTTAATAGCTATATTGTATCATCTAATATTAAAAAAATATATTTTTTGATCAATATATATAAGAAACAATATCTTTATGATATTGTCAGACTGCAGCTAGATAGTTGCTATAACATCTAGTCAGGAGTGAGAGAAAAATACAGATTTCAACGTTAATTTTTTGAAAAAGCTGCAAAAATGCAGTTTACCCAAACAGAAAAACTATAGTGCGATGTCGCACCGCCGCCCCAATCAAACCCTTAATTTGCTTGCTCTTACTCCTTGAGTATTTAAATTATTGGGTTTTATTTTATTCAGATCGTTTGAACAGCTGAAAATTTAGGCAAAATATTCTTTTAAGTGGTTGGAAATTTACTTATTAAATCCTACACTTGACGAATCAATCAATCCAAAGTAAAACAAAAAAAAGAAAAAAGCCTTCGTATTTCATGTCTAATTTCATTTAGTATTTAAATAAAAAAAAGATTTTGTATTGAGATATTTATTAGGTAATTTTGTTTGAGGTTGCCTTGATAAATCACCACCATTATAAAGATAGCCATTTTCAAGTGCTTTTTATTTGATGACAAATATAATAAAAAAATAAATTATATATCATGAAGAATATAATGATTAGGTGAAATCCACTATCCTTGTATATTATATTTTTATATCATCAAATTTGGGGTCTTTTTAGGATAATCCCAAAATCTACCAAACAATTATAGAAGGACATACTCTCCAAAAAATTACAGTAATTATTATAAATTATTATTATTTTTTAAATATTAGACTGTAATTTTTTTAACAGTCATCGTACTTAGTTAGATCAATTGCAAAATATAATTTTTTGTCCGTAATTTTTAAAAAATCAGGCAAAACTTAATTTTACCAAACACAAAAAAAATATGATGAGGTTGCTGTTCTAAACACGAAAAATTATTTCATATCTCCACCGTTCATCATAGCAAAGATATATTTTAGTGGTCCCCATTTTTAATTTTTTTTTTTTATAATAATCTAAATAAACAGTGGATACACCGTACCGCATGAAATAATTTTTCTCTAAACACACCCTTCCTAACTTGTTGATAAGCAAAAGTTGAGAAGTCCAATACAATATCTTTCCGTATTTAATGCTGAAAAAACCGCATGGTTAATGTGAAAAGTTATCAATATCTTCAATTTAAATGGATTTGATGATAATATTATTTTTATTTAAAAAAATATTTATCGCTAACAAATACTAGTACGCCAGTCAAATTTTATTTTTTAAATAGAACATGTTATTTTCTTTAGAATGAATTTGAAAACCATTGTATTTATTTTAAATTAATGATTTCTAAATTCATTCTTAAAATATTTAACATAATTTTTATTCGAAAGAATACTTTAAATGGATACTCAAATTTTTTCTATTTTTTTTTTCTGGCCTTTAAGATTATACTAAATAAAGATGGTTCTAGGTAGGGCTGCCAAAACGACCTGTTAATCGCGAATAGTTTGTGTTTTGTTTGTTAAGAAGCTCGTCTTTTGATTCGTCCACTAAGTTAACGAGCTAAACACGAATAATTTTTTTTGTGCTCGATGTATAAACGAGCAGAACTAGAGCAAGGATTTGTTTTCTCGTATTTAACTCATTTTGGCTCGACATATATATATATATATATACACACACACACACACACACATAAGTGTGCCTACCATGATTTTTGGTTGACAGAGTTTATAAGACCACCGGGTCGCGGGTTCGACCTCGCCTCTGCGCCGGATGAAATTCTTAGATACAAGAGGTTGGACCGGAGGCTCGTATAATAACATTTGACCAATCTTAATATTATATATATATATATATATATATATA